GCTCCAGCCCCAATGAGGGGTCTTTAGATGCCTGCGACAGGCCTGCGGGGGTCCTTCCCTGCCTCCCCAGTCCATTCTGCGACTGGCTTGGGCATCAGCCCTGCTGGGCTCTGGACACACGCCTCTCGCCAGCCCACAGCCATGGGTCTCAGCCTGCCGTGACTCGGGGGTCACTCCCTCCCCGGTGTGGCCACAGTGGCTGGTGGAATGTGGCAGCTGCTGAACCTCTGGTGAGCAATGCGGCCCAGCCACTGGCGATGGGAGGTGGGTGGGCCTGCCTTGCCCTGCCCTGCCCCGTCCACAGCTGACTGCGACAGGAACGGACAACAGGCCGGGGTGTGACCAGGGGGACAAGAGAACCGCCCTGTTCTAAGAACTCAGACTTGGATGGAGCAACTCCCACCAACAAGGGTCGAAATCCCTCACTGAGTCCCTTTCCTCCCCGCTTTTGCCCTCCGCCGCAGGCACCCTGGGAGGAGTGAGTGTAGGGGCAGCCTCTCCACTCCTGAGCATCTCTCTAAAGAACGGGCCGGAGGCGTAGCACAACGGGGAGGGCATTTGCCTTGCATGCAGCCGACCTGGGTTAAGTCCCCAGCATCCCATATGGTCCCCCAAGTACTGCCAGGAGTAATCCCTGAGTGCAGAGTCAGGAGTAACCCCCTTTTTGGGTGTGACCCACAAAGCAAAACAATAAATAAATTTAAAAGGATAAATTAAAAAAAATAAAAGTAACATTGGGGTCGAAGCAATAGGACAATGGAGAGGGTGCTTGTCTAGCACACAACCAACCTGGGTTGATCCCCAGCATCCCACCCCCAAGCAGTGTCAGGAGGAATTCCTGAGTGTAGAGCCAGGAGTCATCCCTGAGAACCTCCTGACGTGTCCCCTCATCCCCCCCAAAGACTACAAGAATGTTGCCACAGACAGTGCTAGCCACAACCCTGAAGGGAGCGGGAGTTAGGAGGCCAAGACCAGGAGCCATGTGCCTGTCAGTAGCTGACGGAACGGGAAGGATGGGCGCGCGTGCCCTGGGGTACTGGGTCGTTACTAATAAAGATGGCATGTGAGGACTTGAGGGGTGAGGTGCATGCCTTGCATGCTGAAGGCCTGGGGTTGGTCCTTGGTCCTTTTATCTTTATTTTATTTTTTAATTTTTATTAGTGAGACACCATGAACCATGAACAGTTGTAGACTTACAAATTTTGTGCTTGGGTTTCAATTATACAATGATCAAATACCCATCCCTCCACCAGTGGGTCCTTGGGCCACTTTTGTCCCCCCACCCCCCCCAGAGCTGCTTGGTTGGTTCCCAGCATCCTCCAACCTTCAGGCTCTGCTGAGGCTGCCCTTGTTAGAAAAAAGGCCGGAGCCATAGCACAGCAGGGAGAGCGCTTGCCTTGCACCTGGCTGACTTGGGTTCGATCCCCAGCATCCCATATGGTCCCCCAAGCACCACCACGAGCAATTCCTGAGTGCAGAGCCAGGAGGAACCCCTGAGCATCGCTGAGTGTGATGTAAAATTGAAAAGAAATTTTTGTCTTTTGCAAAATGCAAGAAGCTCTGGGGCGTTATGCTGAGCAAAGTAAGGGGAAAAAAAAAAACAAGGACTGGGTGAGCTCAACTATGTGTGCGATATAAGGGCGGGAAACTGACCAACATATGAAACAAATTAAAAGGACGGGATGGGGGACTGGAGCTCCAGTACAGCGGGGAGGGCGTTTGCCTTGCACAAAGCAGACCGAGGTTCAATCTCCAGCATCTCATCTGGTCCCCCAACACTGCCGGGAGTGATTCCTGAGGGCAGAGCCAGGAGTAAGCCCTGAGCACTGCTGGGTGCGGCCCCAAACCAAACCAAAACAAAAAGGACAAAGTAATCACTATTGGCCAGAAAATATTCTCTGAGAAGGAGAGGAAGACAAAAAGAGATTGTGGGGAAAAAAATGCTACAGTGTTTAAGGGGATGGTTTATGCGTGGATGGAGGGGGTAGGGTTAGGCCACACCCAGTGGTACTCAGGGCTGACTCCTGGCTCTACACTCAGAGATCGCTTCTGGTGGTACTCAAAGGACCCTGTGAGATGCTGGGCACCAAACCTAGGTTTTCTGTGCTTTACTCCCTCTACTATGTCTCTGGTCCTCTGAAAATATTCCTTATCTCAGTGGAACAGCAGTCCTCAAGTCAGAATCACATTATCTTGGAGAAAATAGGAAAATTATCAGGGTGATACCTAATACTTTTATCTACGTACCACAAAATTTTTTATTAGTGAAACATTATGAGGTACAATTGTAGACTTACAAATTGTGCTTGGGGGCTGGAGTGATAGCACAGCGGGTAGGGCGTTTCCCTTGCTCGCGGCCGACCCGGGTTCGATTCCCAGCATCCCATATGGTCCCCCAAGCACGGCCAGGAGTAATTGAACCTGAGTGCATGAACCAGGAGTAACCCCTGTGCGTTGCTGGGTGTGACCCAAAAAAGAAAAAAAATACAAATTGTGCTTGGGTTTCAGTTATACAATGATCGAATACCTATCCCTCCACCAATGCCCGTTCTCCACCCCCAGTGATCCCAGTATCCCTCCCACCCCCCCATCCCCCAATCCCACCCTGCCTCTGTGGCAGGGCATTCCGTTTTGTTCTCTCTCTCCTTTTGGGTGCTGCATACCACAAAATTGTTATTACCGTCATGGTCAGCACCCCAAGACATTCCTAAGCCAGTGGGAGATGGGCACCTAAAAGAAAAAGCGCTCAGCTGAGCGTTAGTACCGCTGGTAAGGTGCTTCCCTTGCACATGGCCCACCCAGGTTTGATCCTGGCATCCCATAAATGATCCCCCAAGCTCACTTGGAGTGATTCCTCGGTGCAGAGGCAGGAGTAACCCTGAGCACTGCTGATGTGGCCCCAAAACAAAAGAACAGAGAGAGAGAGAGAGAGAGAGAGAATACAAGCAGTGCCCCCTGCTCCGTGAGAAAACTTCCACCCATCCTGCAGCCCAGGGACCTCAGAGATGGCTCTGTGAACTGGTGCCTTTATTTTATAAACTAAATTTAAAAATTTTTAAAATTATTTTTTATTTATAATATAAAATTATACTTTATATAACATATGATATATATAATCACCAGGGAGGGGGCACACCTGATGATGCTCAGGGTTACTCCTGGCTCAGGGAATCACTCCTGGCGGTGCCCGGTGGACCATATAGGGCGCCAGGATCAAACCCAAGTTGGCTGCATGCAAGAGGAGTGCCTTTCCCCGACGTACTATCGCTCCGCCCCTATGGAGCCCATTCTTTGCAAGCAGGAGCCCTGAGTTTGATCCCTGCTACCACAAGATCCCCTGAGCACTGCCCGGAGCAATACCTGAGAACTGAGCTGGGAGTAACTCCCACGCCCACACATCAGGCAAAACAACACAAACATTCTGAAGCGCTGGACTCAGGCCCAGAGAGTTCAAGGGCTTTACCCAAGGTCACACAGAATGGCCAGTCGAAAACCCGCAGTCAGGAGCCCCTCAGAGTGATCAACCCTGAGAAGCCATGTCAGCTGTGTCGGGGAGGGGGCATCATCGCCCTGGTGTTAGGCCTTATAGGGACACCCCATTCTGCCCAGGCCCTCTCTCCTGGGGGCTGCCGGGCCTTCCCCATGGACAGTCACAGGGAAAGTAAAAGAATGTTGGACCCAGGATCCCAAGAATCAAGACAGAGACAAGTGTGCGGGGAACTGTGTGTGTGTGTGTGTGTGTGTGTGTGTGTGTGTGTGCAACACGCCCTGGACAGTCCTGTGCTTGTGGCCCCTATTATGATCTGGCTTTCTGGTCATGCTTTTGTCAGACCCTGATTCCTTACCCCTGACTCCCTGCTCCTCTGGGGGGTCCACGGTGGGGGGATTTGTCTACCTTTAGGCTCCTCTGCCCCTGTAACTTCTGTGAAGATGGAAATAAATGCATGTTCTTCTTCTGTCTTTTGTTTGTTTTGGAGCCACACCTGCAGTACTCAGGCATCACTCAGGCATCCCTGTGGGGCGTCAGGGGTGGACAGGTCAGCCACACGCAAGGCAGATGCCCCACCTGCTGTCATCTCCCTCCAGCCCCACATTTCTAAAGCGATGTGAGGTCACAGCCCCTGCCTAGCGCACCCTGCCCAGGCAGGTGAGGTGTGGGGCGTGTTCAGGGAATGTGCACAAAACAGATTCAGGGGCCCGAGGGGTGGGACAGCAGGCAGGGTGCCTGCCTTGCATGCAGTCAAATAGGGTTCGATCTCTGGCACCCCATAGGATTCCCAAGCACCCCCCGGAGTGACTCCTGAGTGCAGAACCTGGAGTAGCCCCTGAACCTTAAATAACCAGACAGATTTCGGACAGAGAGATAATCCGGGAGTACCTCGAATGTGGCAGACCCCAGTTCAAATCACAGCAGCCCCATACGGTGGTGCGAGAGGATCTTCCTGAGCACAGGGCCCAGGAGTAGCCCCTGAGCACTGGGTGATTCCAGCCCCCCTCCCCAATAAATCACACGAGGCTGGAGAGACAGTTTAGGGGTGCTGCCCACACTCGCTCCCACGAGGCACCTTTCGGGCGACCCCTGAGCACCCCGGGGTGCGGCTCCCCCAGACCCCAAGAAACAACATCACGATGTCCTCGTGGCTGGGTCTTCCTGCGTTTTCTCGAGACAACATCAAAACCGCCTCTAACGCGTACCATTTCATCCGCAGCCGAACCGCGCGCCAGCACGTGACCCACACCAGGCAGACCCCAGTTCAAATCACAGCAAGTTTGGGAAGTTTGGAAGTTGCCCTTTTGTTCCTTCAAGAACCAAAACCCTCCCGAGCTGGGTCCCCGGTGCCCCCGTGCCCCGCGCCCGGGCCGGCGCCGTGCATTCCCCGCGCTCTCCAGCAGAGGGGCCGCGGGGCGCCCCGCATAATAGCCGCTTTGATGCCCGCGGCCGCGCGCGGGGCGGGGACGGGCGGGGGGCGGGCCCGAGGGGGCGGGCGGCCGGCCGGCCGGCGACTCCCCGGGCCCCGGCGTCCCGCCGCCACACGCCGCCCAGCCCCGAGCCATGGCCCTGACGCTCGGCAGCAGGTTCCAAGGTAGGCGCGCGGCCGCACCTGTGCGCGCCGGCCCGAGGGTGCGGGCGGGCGGCCGGCGGGGCGCGGGCCCGGCCCACCCGCTTCCCCGGCCCCTCTTTGTCTCCCGCAGGAGGGAAGGCGTTCGGCTTGCTCAAAGCGCGGCAGGACCGGAGGCTGGCGGAGATCAACCGGGTAAGCGCGCCGCCCCTTCGCGGACGCCCCCCGCCCGCCCCTGCGCCCCCGCACCCCGCTCCGCGCGCGCGCTCCGGTTGCAAGTTGTTAAGTTGGACTCGGAGCGGGCGGGGCGCGCCGCGTCGGCCCCCGGGGGTCCCCCCCACCGCACCCCGGAGACCCGCCGCAGGAATCCGGCGGCGGGAAGCCCCCGCCCCCCACCCCGTGTCTTTCAACAGCCCCGATTTCAGCGGTGGAGGGCGGGAAGGGTGGCTGGGACGCGCGGGGTGTCCGAGCTGCCCCCTAGGAGAAGTGCCGGCCGCCTGTCCCCCCCACCCCACCCCTCAAATCTTTTGCGGCCCAACTTTCAGGAAAGGTCCTCCTAGCTCCTCAGCTCTTCCTGCGGGGCCTGGACGGTTGCTAGAAAGTTTTCAGGCTATTTAAAGCTGGGCGCACAGTAGGGACACGGGCCGCTGCCCGGTGACCTTGTGGATCCCAGGAGAGAAGCGGGAGCGGCAGGGTCTTTGGCCAAGGCCGCTGGCCAGTGCCTAAAGCTTCTGCACAACCTGGACTGGGGGGCTGGTCATGCAAGTAAGGACTGGGGTGGGGGCGCCAGAGGGGTCCGGGGAGTGCATTATCTGCTCTAGGGGCAATCATGTGATCCGTGGGGTTTGGTTTTTTTCCCCCCCTTTGGGGGCCACACCCAGCAGTGCTCAGGGCTTCCTCCTGCTCTGCTCTTAGGGGTCACTCCTGCGGGGGCTCTAGTTACTATCTAGGATGCCCAGGATCAAGCCTGGGTCAGCCACGTGCAAGGCAAGCACCTTCCCCGCCGTCCTGTCATTCCTTCGCTGCCTTTTGGGGGGCTGCCTGAAACTCGTTCTCTCGCGCGGGCCGAGAGAACCCCATGGGAGATTCTGGGAGGGGAGGATTTCTCTGGGCCAGCTTCAACGCCCCTGGCCCCCATCCTCGGCCTGCTGAAAGGATGCCCAGAAATCTGGGTGGGGCTGTTGGGGGTCAGGCTGCCAGCAGGCTGCCCAGCTCACTGCGGCCCGCCCACCGGGTCTGGACTCGGGCCTGGGACCTGGCCTCACCCTGCCCCCAGGGCACTCAGCCCGGGCAGGGGGACCAGGCTGGCGGGGCCACCCTCTGCCCTCCACCAGGGACCCCGAAAGGGAGGCAGCTGGAGGGGCGGGGGCTGTGTGGGAACTGCGTGTCTGACCCTGTGACCCCGTCCTGCCCACCCTGCCCGGTTCGGGTTCATGGCCTGTCTGGGCAAGTGGCCTGGCTTGGCGCAGGGCACGGAGCAGCTGTGACTCCCAGGCTGACCCCCACGCCGCCAGGCCTGGAGGCATCTCTCTAGAAAGGCTGGAGCTGAGCCTCTCGGCCTCCGGTGCTCCGAGGGTGCATGGGAACCCACGGCAGGGCTTGCTCATGTGCTGAGCACCGCCTTGTGAGCCCAGGCTGCTGGGGGCCGTTCGGCTCAAACCAGAAATCACGTTGCTGTCCCCATGGCTCGGGGGCCCCTCCATGGTGTCTCTCCACCCTTCCCCCCATGGCCCCCTGCTAACCTGGGCTCCTAGTTCTGTGCCGTGGCCCCCCATCAGCATGACTCTCCCCAGTGGCCCCCTTGGACCGTGTGTGGCCCCGAGCCTGGCCCTGTCCCTGGGCTGTCCCGGAGGACCCAGTCCCAGGTGGCTGTGGTTTCCCGGGCGCAGGGCTGGCTGCGCATTTAATGCTATCCTGGGTCTGGGGCTGCGGGAACTGTGAGGGCAACCCCGACGACCCTCCCTTGGGGAGCTCCTTCCCCGCCCCAGGGGAGCTGGGCTTCTGGGCCCTGGGCTGAGCGGTGGCCGGGTGGTCTCGGGGAGGCCGGTCCATGCAAGATGGGGGTCAGAGCTCAAGCCTGTCCGAGCACTTGGGCCACAGCCATGCCCGCGGTCGCAGGGTCCAGCCTGGCTGGCAGCTCCGTGGACTTCTCTGGGCCCCCTCCCCCCAACTTCCCTTGGCAGCCTCTCCTCCCCTGGGGCGGGCTGCCTCAAAGGCCGGGAAGTGGGCTCTGGGCCCTTGTGACAAGGCATAAAAATAGAAGGGGCTCAGTGGCCGGGGGTCCCGGCAGAGCCTGGTGAAAGCCCCCCCTTTGCTTTCCTGGTGTTGGCTCCCTGTTCTGAGCATGGGCTGTGCATGTGGAGCCCCAGAGGCGTCCACTTGCTGCTCAGACCAGGCCCCCCACCCCTGCTCAGGTTGGGCCCCCAACCCCCGCTCAAGCCGGGCCCTCATCCCCCTGCATTGAGGGTCCCTATCTCCAGGCCTGCCTGAGTCTTCTCTGGGGGTGCCTGCGTTCTCACCTCTGGGTTGTGTGTGTGTGTGTGTGTGCAGGTTCCTGTGTATGCCCATGAGTATGTGTGTGTTTGCACACGTGTGTGCAGGTCCCTGTGTATGCCCATGAGTATGTGTGTGTTCGCACACGTGTGTGCAGGTCCCTGTGTATGCCCATGAGTATGTGTGTGTTCGCACATGTGTATGAACATGTATGCGTGTATGTGTGTGAGAATACATGCTTATGTTTGCATATGTGTGTGGGTGTAAATGTACATATGTTCTAGCGCACATGTGCACGTGCATGTGTGTGGGTGTGCGTGTGTGTGCGGGCATGTGAATGTTTGTGTCCGTGTATGGGTGTGTATGAGCATCCAGGCAGGTGTGTGTGAATGTATGAGCATGTGTGCATGTGAGTGCATGAGTGTATTGTGCATGAGTGTATGACCCGTGTGCATGTGTGTTGTGTGCGAGTGTGTGCGCGTGTGCATATGCTGAGCTCACTAGGGCAGGCAGGGCTGTCGGGCGGCTCTGACTCCCCCACATAGCTGACATTCCCCTGCTGGCAGGGCAGGTGACCCCTGGCCAGTCAGGCCTGGCCTTATATGGCAATAGGACAAATTTCCCCAGCTTCCCACAGGGACGGGTGGCGGGCAGGCGGGGGTGGGGGAACACCCCCCACCCTGGGGACGCAGCAGAGGAACGGGACGAGGCTGGCCAGGGCTGCGCAGGGTCCGGGAGCAAACGGTGGACCGGGGCTTTGCTGCTCCTTGACTGCGGTTTGCGCTGGGGTGTGGGGTTCCCAACTGCCTCCCCGTCCCTAGCTGTGACCACCTCAGGGAATAGGATCAAAAGCCTCTTTTTTTTTTTTTGGCCGCACCTGGCTGTTCCTCCTGGCTCCGCGCTCATAAACCACTCCTTCTGGGGCATAAACCACTCCACCACTCCTTCTGGGGCTCAGGGGACCCTGTGGGATGCCGGGGACTGGACTCGGGTCAGTGGCTGGCGAGACCAGTGCCTTACCCATGGTACTTGCTCCATCCCCTGTTTTGCAGGGTTTTCGTCCCAGCCTCGCTCAGAGAGCCTTGGGTCACTTCTGGCAGTTCGGAGAGTTCTGTGCTGGGCCTGCAGCTCTGCTCATGCCCTCCAGGGCTATAGCCAGCAGAATGGAGGGACAGGGGTGGAAAGCGGGGCTGGGAGTGGGTGCGGCCTCCCAGGCCAGGCCTCCTGCTTTCGAGAGGGACTAAGGGAGACTGAGGGACTAAGGCCCAGCGAGCTGGGAACTGGCCTAAGGAAGTGGTGGAGCAGAGTCCTGACTCCTGTCCACCTGGTGGCCGCGACCCCGTGGTGACACAGGCCTCCTGCTGACATGATAAGGATCTCTGGCTCCGGGTCGAATGGAGGGCAGCCGTGTTCGGGGGCCGGGCAGTTATTTTGGAACCCACCAGCTGGCTGGGAAGAGCGGGCCCAGCAGGCTGGACACTCCGTGGGGATCGATGTCCCTCCGCCAGCCACGGGGCACCTCTGAGACCTGACCCAGGTGTGTCTCTTTCCCTTGTGTACCTGGCGGGGCCGCGGTGTCCCTGCCCAGGTGAATGTGCCCAGCTGGCACCGCCGGCCGCCCGGCTCTCTTGCCCTTCCTTAATATATTATAAGGGAGATGGTGATCAGAGACCACGTGAGCCCTGGGATCCCGTGTCCCCGCAGGTCCGGCCAGTCATGACCTCGGTGTGGCCGTCTCACAGGAAGCTGGAGATGGAATTTCGGGGCGGGGGGGGGGGGTCTGCTGCCTGTGTGTCATCGGGGTGGGGATGGCACTCGAGTCCTTTTTTGGCGAGGACACGGTGTCTGGGTGAGGCCTCGGAGCAGCGGGGAGTTGTGAGCTTGGTTTGAGGGTGCTGTGCCTGGGTGTTCTCTCTTGCTGGGTGACCTCTCTTCCAAGCGGCCAAGGACACAGACAGGTTTGCCCTTGAGGGCTGGCCAGAGGGTCAAGGCTTATCAGGAGGGCTCAGAGAGTTATGGGTGGGTCTTCTTTCTGCCCTCTGCAACCCCGAGTTTGGGGGCGTTGGGGGCCAGAGAGATAGCACAGGGGGTAGGTCCCTCCCTTGCCTTGCATGTGGCAGACCCACCTCAGAGCCTCCACTGGGTCCCACCAGGAGGGATTCCTGAGCACAGAGCCAGGAGTAATCCCTGGGCACCGTTGTGTGTGACCCCAAAACAAACAGAAAAGTTTGGGAGGGGGGCGCCAAGCACATCCTGATGGTTGCCTGGGACGTGTGCCCAGAGACTGCTCTTCCTCGAGTTTCCTCCCCAGATGCCCAGGGAACAGCGCTGCCCATGGACAGGAAGCCAAGACCCTGAGTGGCCGTCATGCCCAGCTCTCCCGGGCCCCAGTGCTGGTGGTGCTTAGCTGAATCATCTGACTATGGTGGATTTTGTGTTGGAATTTTGGGCCCTACCTGGTGGTTCTCAGGGCTTACTCTTGGCTTTGTGCTCAGAGATGACTCCTGGAATTGCTCAGGGTGCCATATCAGGGATCCAGCCAGGGCTGACGACATGCAAGGCCAGTGCCCTATCTGCTGTATCAGGTCCCTGATTTGTTTGTTTGTTTGTGTTTTGGTCCACACCTGTCAGGCTCTGTACTCCGGAATTACTCCTGGCGGTACTCGGGGGGACCAAATGGGATGTCTGGGTCGGCCGGCTGC